ACTTTACTCAAAACGACTGTATCCTCTATTTTGCCGCTTGATACACAAAGCTCCTCGTCGCCTCCCTTCTCGTATTTATTTCAATGGGTGCTTTTTACGCTACAATAAATATAATTTGTTTAAAGGATCAGTGTCTGTTTCTTTTTACATGAGATTTTCTTCACTAGCACTTCCCATGTCAGAACATTACTGTAAGCCTCTTTTTCATTGTTGCCCATCACAAAGTTAATTTTTTTAATGTCATAAACTTTTTAACATTATGAAAATATAGAGTTTAGTGGGTCCAAGTACAGCCAAAATGTTTTTCCTATTACCTACATTAATAATTAAAAAAAATATATGAAAATGAAATAACAAGCAAAAAGTTTATGGATTTTGTATATATTTCGTTTTTCTTGGACTTGCAATTTCCCTTCCTTCCCCTTTTGATCTACATTATGGTTGCTGCCTTGAATTTGAGAATCAACATTAGCCTGCAAAGCCTCAATTTTGCTCTTACCAGACTTGCTGCCATTATCTTCCTCATCACCTTCACCATCCAATGCAATTCTGATCTTTGAAGCCTCTCCTTTTAATTTCTCATCTTTCTTTGAGAACATTTGAATCAGGAAAGGTTCCATGCTTGGCCTTCTTGACTGCAACTTGTTGACAAGTTCTCCAATTGCTGAGTTGTCATTCCGATGTTTCACCTCACTGAACAGAAAGAGATAATTATAGTCTAATGCATGCAAAATTATAGATTTCATATTAAAAGTGAAAAAATAGACAAGGGTATTGGAAAGTGAAAAGTATTTTAGGCAGGGAAGTGAAAACTTGAAAAATATAGTCAAATACCATATTGTCGCGTTTGAATACACTTTACATTGTACTTGAATACTTTATATAGAAATGCACTAGCAAAAATACATAATAATCCAAAAATGAATTCAAAAATACAGTTTAAACAGAAAAACACAACATAAAAAACAAAAAGTCACAAGCAAGTCATGTGGCACCATCTATGGCAGTATAGCCACAGATGGTGTACATACCTGGCACTGCTCTGGATATTACCATCTAGCCTTAGCCTTATTTTACCCAGCAGCAATGAAGAACATTCAACTATTTAGAGCCAAAAGGACTGCTTGTATTAAATTGAGCAGTACATTTCTAGGCCACTTCAAGATTTGCCTATGGTGAATTTCAAGATTTGCCTATGGTGAATGGAAAAGGAAGGAAAAATAATACTATTGACAGTTAGGAATTGGGAGAATGTACAAGAGTTTAGATTTACCTCACATCTAATGCAGCATTTAATTGTTTCAATTCATCAAGCATGTTTACAGCTTCTCTAAACAGACTTTCATTTTCACCATCAGGGTTACTCAATATCCCATGACCACTTAAAAGTTGAATAGTTTTCTCTATGTCTTCCTGAAAGATAAAATCACAAGAAGATAAGCCTGAATATAATAAAATGTAAGCAGAGAGAAAAGAATTTGACATTACCTTCACTTTTGGATCTTAAATTTTTGCTGAATTTTAAAAACTTTCAATAGTTCCCAAACTATGGCCAAGGGTCAAAGGATGTCAAAGGATGGGTAACATTGGATTTTGCTTTAATGTTTGAATTCCTGTCTGCAGCAAAATTGATAACAGAAGATGAACTGGTAGTGCCCACATCAACTGATCCTCTGTTATCTACAGAATTTTCATTTCTCTTTGGAAATAAGTCTCTAAATATATCCTGAATGATCTGATTGGCCTTCATGTATACAAAAATAGCATCCGGGCCAAAATTTCTTGGATAACTTTTACCCAAACTGACAATTACCAGATTATTGTCAATCTTCTTCAATGCTTCAGCTAACACATTTACATCCAGAGTAAGAGAATTACGCTTCCTTCTTTTCTTAAGCTTCTTTTCTTAAGAACATTACCAAATTCCCGAGGTAATTGTTCTGTTATGTCGTTCCTTCCCAGCAAGTCATGAAGCATGTTTTCGCACCAACCAAAATTCAAAAAAAGCAAACACACTATCACAATCAATCTCAACATGACAATTGCATAGCCATCCTTCATATTACTGTGACATTTTCTGATCCACTCCATTGTATCTTTCTTATTATAAAGAAACTGATGGATGATGTCAACTATACGTTTTAGCATACCTTCTATAGATTGTGGGGCTTGTTCCGCTAATCTAGAAGTTTGGTTGCCATTGCCTTCCTCATAGATAAGCCATTCAACAAAAGAAGATTTTGTAGTGAGGAAGTATCCACGGAAGCAAGATAACAAAATCAGTTGGCGGTCAACAAGGTATAAGAAACAACCTGGTGAGGGTATAGAAACCAACCTGGTGAGATTGTATCATATTCTTTACCCAGTTGGCACATGTAAGCATCCACCAGAGCTTCCTGCAGAGAAAACCACTTGAGAGGACAGCCTCTCCAGGTACTTTAATGTTATTGCTTGAGACATTCCTGCAGAGATCCTTAATCAAATTGTTCCAAGAATCATTCCATTCTAATCCACCCATGATTTTCTCATAGAATTCATTACATAGCTTACCAGAACCAAGAATCACTAATACTATCTTTCCAAGTTGCCCATGAGACAGCTTACCCTTCAAGCTAACATTTTCAAAAATCATTTCTTTGAAGAGATTTCTGAAAGTCTCAGTTCTTCTGAAAGAAATCATATTCTGTTTCAATGATTCTCTACAGTCTAGAGGATAAATGCAGGCAAAGGATTGTTCAACTGACATGCTAATTAATTTCTGCAGCTTATTGTTACATGCTAATTAATTTCTGCAGCTTATTGTTATCACGATAATGTCTGTCGAGAAACTTGGAATTCAAAAGAAATTTTGAGACCTCATATATATGAGAAAGAGACCTGCTTTGGCAGAAGAGAGAAAATGAATTCTTAACTGAGAATTTATATAGGGATTCAAGATTAGTCAAAACCTGCCAACAGATATTAATTCAGAAGACCAATAACTAACGAGAAGCAGAGATAAAACTGGCGAATATCTACATAGCTGAGCTTTCCTACATAGCTGAGCTTTCCAATCCTTTTTATGTATCTGCTGTCTATTTCTCTCAACCATTCTGCATCAGAGTTTATAAGGACATATATGGCATTTAGATTATTGAAATGTCTTTGCACACCCAAATAATTCAAGCAGAATTCTCCATAACTTGCATATTCACTCAGATCGTGAGTTTCAAGGCATTCGAGATACTCAAATACATGAACAATCTTAGCCTTCCAAAATATCCAGGAGTACATCAGAGTTTCAATGGAAACCTCATCTTCTGATAGTCTCTCTTCCAACAAGTTTTCTAGATCAAGAACAAATTCATTTTCCCACACGTACTTTGAGCTGTTTACTTGAAAATGGGCATCAAGAATCTTTCGAGCTGATAAAATTTCACCTCTGATACTCTTAAGTCTCTGAGAAGCATTCAGATGTTGTTTCATATGTTGTTTCATCATGGACAAGTTACCTAGATCATGCAACAAAATTTCAGATTCCAGACATACAAGCTCATAAAATTGGCTTGACTCGGTCTCTGCAAATGACTTTGCCTTTGCCAAGAGCTCTTCCTTTTGTGGAAAACGCTTTAAAGGCCAGCCTTTGCTCCCAGATGACCACAGAGAATTCGCAAACACGTAACATATAATAAGCATAGCTGCACGCTTAAGATCTCCAGCCCTTCCAAGTAGATCAGCCTCAAGTAGAAGTTCACCTTTCAACTTTGCAATCTTTGCTGCCTCCATAAAGTTGCCTGATTCTTCTTCCAGTGACAGAAGCTCATCAAGGCACTCTAAAGCATTCAAGAAAGTTCGAATTGAGTCCATAGAATCAAAGGTTCTAACATATCTCATCATGGCTCTATTATCATTCAGCTTATGATAATGGAGAGCACATTTCTCCAGAAACTCTTGTTCAATTTTGGCCATTTCTTTGCTTCTTTTAACCATATATTGATCCGCAGTCACTTGTTTCCAGCATTGAATATATTAATATATTGGCAAGCCCATGTCAAAGAGTTTCTCCTTTCAAACATGCAGAACAAGGCAATCTGAGAAAATGGTTACCTTGTAGCATTATAATTCTGCTGCAAGCTTTACAACATTCCAGGCAAGACTGAAAACATTCTCCAGGCTCTTTCAATAGCAGATTCCCCACATTGCAATAAATTTGACCTACAATGAAATAAGAGGTTAAGAAGTAGAATGCCTATGAATATCAAGAATGGAACATAATGATTATTTTGTTTCAATATCTTTAGTGATAAACCTTGCAGTTTCAGGGACCAAGAGCGATGATTATTTGTTAATTTTTAGCCTGCCCGCTCATACTGCTTTAAAATAAAAAAACATTCTGCAGCAAAGCTCCACCTTGCCAATGGGATTCGAAAATTTCAGCAGCCCTTGGCCCACGAAAATTTCAGCAGCCTGCCCACGGGCTACAGAAGCCTCTTCAGGGTTTGAAGCATGCATTCTGGTCTGCAGTTGCTTTAAGCCCAGCAGCCTTGGCTACTTTTTCACCATATGTATCTCCTGCTCTTTCAAAACACATTGTTGCCATCTCATAGTTACCCTCACGTAAAAGCTGTGTGCCAGAATGAAAAGATAGATAAAAGTTACACTTACTCAGATAGATCAGAAAGACAGTGTCCTTATCCATAAAAGAAACACCTGATGGCAACTAATATTATAGTTAGATGAAGGGGAAAACATTGTACTCAACACCTACAAGTATAGGCTCTCAAATTTGCATAAATTTAGTGGACAAGTTCATTTACATCAATCTGAAAAATCTCCCATCATTATGACCAACATTATCAAGCAGCTTTCGCATAAAATGAATTATCTAGTACTAAGAACATTAATTACAACAACAACTACGCTAGCTATAAGTGATTCAGATAAAAATCACAGAAACAAGATGCAGCTACCTTGTAACCCCTGGACTTCCACTCTTCTGGACTGCTGCTAACTTGCATTGGACTGCTGCTAACTTGCATGCCTTGTGCAATTAAGTCATCCAATGTCCTGACTTGGATAAGGGCTTTCATCTTCCAGTAATCAAACATTGGTTTCGAAAACTCTTCTAAATTCTCACAAATCCATAGTCTTTGTCTTGTACGAGTGATTGCAACATATAACTGCTTCAATTCAGAGCATAAGACATTGTGTTTTGCCATATTGAAAACAGGAGAGGACTCATCAAGTAAATTTTGCTCCTTCATGTACTCAAAGACAACTCTCCAATTATTTCTTGGAGGTGATGAGCCGAAAAAGTTGTACAACAGTACATCCTACAAAAGATAACATTACAAATTATAAAGTAGATAACAAGTAGGACATAAGTTAAGGAATTTTGAATATTTCACAAGAAAATGATTATTCAGCACTGAGCGTGTGAGTTTATTGTGGAAAAATATTTTCTTGATTATATTTCATCAATAGGGACACACATATATATACACACATACAAGATACTATAAATCTATTAGGAATCTAACTCCTACAATGAACAGATCTCCTCCAAAAGAAGACGAAAATAGATGAGAGTGAACAAGGTCAAATAATCATTAGCTCTATGTTTGATAAGCTGTAATGAGATAAAGAGCACCATAGCACTTCTATTCACTTTTTCATTATGTTACATTTTATTCTGGTCCAAGAAATATTACCTTGGAAAAATCCTACAATAGTTGATCGATAACTGAATTATCAAAACAATGCATTATGATTTCAGGACATACAAAAGCAAAAAGTATAATTCAAAATGAGAACTCAAAATGCTAAATGATTGTAAACAGAATAAGCAAATCCTCTAACAGAATTAATAAAATAGGAAAAAAAAAAAGGAAAAAAAACTAATACTGACCTGAAACTCTAGGCCCCTGCACTCCATTATAGTCAAGACAAGGGCTTGTTTCCCAACATAGTCATACACTTCTTTCTTTGCCGAATCATCACGCACTAATATGACTTGTTCTGCTCCAAACCCAACAAAATTGGTCCCTTCATTCCCACTGCTCCCAAATATAGTCACAATTGCATTTTCATCATTTGTCGCTTCAAGCCAAACTGGGGCTTCACCAAATATAAGACTAGTTTCATGGCTTAAAATATCAACAAATGAAGGGAAAAAACGATAAAGAAGGTCAATAACACTTTGAGCTAACTTGAGAATACCAGCATGGGTACGAAAGTTCTGGCTCAAATGAAAAATTTTAGATACTTGCCAGCATTGGGTACGAAAGTCTGGCTCAAATGAAAAAATTTAATACTTTGACCTTTTCTCCTTTCGTCCGATCATAATCCTCCACTTTTTTTGATCCTTAAAACAAATTCATATGTAGAACAGAGATTCGTATTGTCTTCAAACCTAAAATTCAATGCGCCCCTTTGCAATTGGTTTGTGCGTGTCACCAGAAAAAAAAATTTGAAGCCCTCAGTAACATTTCTGGCAAATGTGCTTTGAAAAGGGCCAATCTGTCTCATGTAAGATCTTTTGAACTCATCAATTATTAGACAAAAAACCATTTATGTCCACCCTCATATTTTCCATTGCATAAGCCTGAGATGAATATTCAATCACAAAATCAGCTGCTATTCAAAATCTCCATTTGCCTATCTTCATCTTTTCATAATCTTTTCATAAATTCATATATTCATTTTCTCTCTTCTCCCTACTTAAAGTCGACAGACGACCCTCGAAACCCTCAGAACGAGTAACATAATCTTTTCTCGCAAGTCTACCGTCACAAGATTCACTTGATTGCAAACCTCCTTTTATGTGAGACATTATCTCAGTAAAGACTCTAGATGAGTCGAGCTTCTTTGTCATTTGTGTATTGAAACGAGGCCAATAAATTGAACAGAACTTATCATAGTTAACTTCCCTTGTTGTTATGAAAGTTTGTAAGGCAATGGATTCCAGACTTCCCATTTTTCCATGTAAAAACTGCCTCACATCAGGAAATCTTTCAAAATATGAATTGCCTATTGTTCCATCAAGCATCATCAATACCTATTGTTCCATCAAGCATCATCAAGAATTTGTGGAAAGTTATAGTAAGAGGATATAAATTGGAAGGAATATCAATAAAAGAATCTGGGATGTCCTTGAACTGTGCTATACCGCTTATGTTGTCACGTTTGATTGGAACAATTTCTAATTTCAGACAATAGTCTGCAAATTATTGTTTGATCCACAGAACTTGTGCAACACAGCTTCTAGCAGCAATATATCCTGCTTCTGTAGTAGAAAGAGCAACAGAAATCTGTTTTTTTTGCTGAACCATGATACAAAGGCGCTATCTAGAAACTGGCAAGTTACAGACTTCCTGCAAAATCAGAATCACTATACCCAACAAGGTCAAATGTATCATCTTTAGAATACCACAAACCCAAATTAGAAGTTCCACAAATATATCTATCTTAGAATTCTTTTTACAGCAATTTAAATGAGATTTATTTAGGACATGAATTTGAAATCACCAAGAATGAGAGCCACATAAACAAACATAAAGTGAATGTCAAGTCTGCTTGCAGTTTAGATATAATAAAAAAACCAATCATACCTTCTAAACATTCTTAATATCCACATCCTTTCCATTTTCATCTTTTCTAATTTTGAGGATGAACTCATTAGTGTACTACATACTTGGCAATGCATTCTCCATTTTGAACCTTTTTAACAATTCTCGAGTGTACTTGCCTTGGTTTATAAAGATTCCATTGTCACATTGTTTGATTTGAAGTCCAAGTAAGAAGTTTAATTCTCCCATCATACTCATTTCAAACTCACTTTACATAATCTTAGAAAATTCCTTACAAAGAAGGTCATTCGTAGAACCAAAGATTATGTCATCAACATAGATTTGCACAACTAAAATATCAGGTGCTTTATTCTTAATAAATAGTGTAGTATCAACCTTTCCTCTAGAAAAACCATTTTCTAACAAGAACTTACTTAATCTTTCATACCAAACTTAATCTTTCAATACCAAGCTCTAGGAGCTTGGTTTTAAACATAAAGTGCTTTAGTAAGTTTAACATGATTTGGTTTATTATAAAACTTTCAAAACCGAGTGGTTGTTCTACATACACTTCTTCATTAGACTCCCATTTAGAAAAGGCACTTTTCACATCCATTTGATAATAAACATTTGATATAACATGAAGTTTTTAAAACATGCAAATGCACAAAGCATTCTAATGGCCTCAAGTCTAGCAACCGGAGCAAAAGTCTCATCAAAATCGATACCCTCTTCTTGGTTGTAACCTAGAGCCACTAACCTTGCTTTGTTTCTCACAACATTACCTTGTTCATCAAGCTTATTTCGAAACACCCATTTTGAACCAATAACAGAATGATTTTTAGGTCTAGAAACAAGTTTCCAAACTTGGTTTATTTCAAACTGATTTAGTTCTTCTTGCATGGCAATAAACCAACTTTCATCATTTTGAGCATCTTCTAAATTTCTAAATTTTAGGTCCTAATTTGAGAAACGGAAAGCACATTACCGAAATATTTTCAAGTTGAAGCTTTAGTCATCATCCCTTTCTGAAGGGTTGTCAATGGATATTAACTTGAGGGATGACACTTAATTGGAACGCCACTCTTTTGGGTAATTTCAGAATTCTCATTTTCTGTTTGGCATTTGACTTTCTGTATGCGTTCTGAATCTTCATGTTCAGTTTTCTGGTCAGCCTTGATTTTCAACATTTCTGCTCACTTTTTGGCTGTTCTTAGTTGTTGATTTGTTCATTCTGCTTTTCTTGATTGAAAATCTACAAGCATCATCATTTTCTAAATATTCTAAGAAGTAGAATCAAATTCATCCAAACACAACATGGTATAGATTTCTTCTACAACTATGAGTTTTCTTTAATTAAACACCCTATTATGCTTTACTATTATTAGGAAATTCTTAGAAAAATTCCTTCATAAGCATTTAGCATCAAATTGTTAGCAAGGTGTGTTTTTCTTATTATCTAGAATAAAACATTTACACCAAAAATGTGAAAATAACCAATGGATTTGTTTTTATCTACCTTTGTATTAGCTCATATGGAGTTCTTTTTTCAGTTTAGATCTTTTACCAATGCAACCTGTTTAGGAATATAACAGGCAGTGTTAACTGTTTCTGCCCCACGTAAATTACTTTTTTGGTAACTTAGAATCACTCAGCATGATTCTGGGCCCATTTCCTTGGGAGTGTTCTATTCTTGCGTTTCTACAACTCCATTCTGCTGGGGTGTTCTAGGTGCTGAAAGTTTTATGGGAAGATTCCTGGATTCTTTGCAAAGCAATCGAAATTTCTGATTTTCAAATTCTCTTCTATTGGTCACTTCTTAATCGCAGAGATGTTGTATCCTTTCTCATTTCTCATTTTGTATTCTCTTGCGAAGATGGACAAACACGTCATATGACTCAGCCTTATTTCTAAGGAAGAGTGTCCAGGTGAATCTAGAATAATCATCTATAATAACAAATGCATAGAATTTACCTCTAAGACTAGAAGGAGAAATAGGTCCAAATAAATCAAGGTGTAGCAATTCTAAAGGTCTAGAAGTAGAAAAAGATGTTCTGGTTTATTTGCCCAATTGACAAGCATCACAAATGTGATCTTTTTAAAACTTTAACTTTGGCAAACTACGAACCAATTCTTTCTCAGACAGTTTAGAAATAAGGTGCGTCTTTCTTAGACCATTTAGAAATAAGGTGCATGCTTGCATGTCCAAGTCTTCTATGCCATAACCAACTAGAATTGTCGATAAAAACTAAACATATATCTAGGTTATGCATATAAGAAAGATCTACTAGGTATATATTCTAAAAACTTTTCCCAACAAATAAAGTTTTGTTATCATGCATATTCTGAACTTCACAATAAGAGGGTTCAAATATCACTCTTCTATTTTTATCACAAATCTGAGACACACTTAACAAGTTATAATGTAATCCTTCTACTAAGCATACATCTTCTACTTGAAGGATTAGAACCTACCACACCAATACCAAATTTTACCTTAGCTTTATTCTCCAAAGCTCACTGTACCTCCTTTTTCTTTTTCTATCTGGTGAATTTCTTTCTATCACCAGCATGATGGCCTAGAGAAGCGCTATGTCAATGTACCGCATTTCTGTTTTCAGCTCACTCCTTTAGGCACACTTGAATATTATTATTATTATTATTATTATTACGTAAATTGAGCAAATATTCTATAACCTAATTAAACCAATTAAAAAAATAATTAATGAATAAATAAATAAATCAAACTAGTAAATCTAGAAGCTTCTAATAATTGAACCAAACCTTTGGAAATGAATCAAAATCAGTTAAAGAAAATCAAGGAGGAGAGAGAAAACCAACAGCACCTCCTTCTCTCCTGTCCATCGCTGACAACCCCTTACCCCCCTTTCCTTCCCATTTTCTGGCCAAATGGCCTTTGTTTCCGGCGAGTGAAGGCTCTAAACTCTAGAGCTCGACGAGACAAACACATCGGTGGCCACTGTTCATGCAATAAAGGTCAGATCGAGAGAAACCACGAATAAGGAGTTTGATGTTGTGAAGACATATTTTTTCAGCGATTCTCATCGTTACCAGCGAAGACAGCCTTCAAGGAGGCTTTCAATCGACTCCCCATCACTTGACGACTGTTTTCCCTCCTTAAAATCCGGCGTCTAGTCCTGTATTGCAATTTCGCCATGAAAGACGGTGAAGTTAGATGCTGCCAGCCTAACTCCGGCCAAATGGTTTTCATCACATTTTTGGCCTATTGCATTTGCTTCACTACTTTCAGCTTTCTGTGTTGAAGTCGGAGTGCTGATTTCCTTGGAGTCAGAATTGATAGTGGCCATTAAACAGATATTCGCAGTTTCCTCCTGGTCACTTTGACTTTTAAAATTAGAATCGTCTGAGTCACTCCAAGCAGCTACAAATGCTTGCTTTAGCTTTTCTTTCTTTGATTTCTTTTTCAGCTTAGGACCGTTAGGCTTGATATGGCCGGGCTTGTTGCACTCATAACAAACCACTTCAGAATGTTCTTTCTTAGGCAAGTTGCTATTTTTAGGTGAAAAGTTCTTTTTTTTGATAAACTTTTTCTGGTGGCCTTCCCTCTTTTTTATAGAACTTCTTAATTCTCTTAGCAACAAGTGCTAAATCATCCACTATCAAGATCAGAAGAACTTTCTTCACTAGAAACTACTTTCAAAACCAATCCTTTCTTTTTCTTATCTTTCTACGGTCAAACAAAATTTTCATTTCTCTGTCTGAAACAAGGAGCTCCTATCAAATAATCATAAAGTATACTGGAGTTTTCTTATAGTTTCATTACAGTTCTATAAAATCTCATTTTTTTAGGTAGAAATCTAGGAATTTTCTTAAACAAGGCTCATTCTTTCTAAAATTTTCCTTTCCAAGAGTTCTCAAAGGGTTAACTATATATTGTTGAATCGGAATTTAGCTTCAGTATAGTCTCTCCCTCTTTTCATACTAAACATTTCATTATTCGTCTGCCAAAGGATATTAATTCTGGATTCCTTCACTCGGTCACAGTACCTATATTAATTCTGGATTCCTTCACTCGGTCAGTACCTTCATAGGTAACTCTAAGTTTTTCCCAGACTTCCGTTGCAGACTTACATCCAGAAACTTTGTTATATTCTGTTGGATCTAATGCACAGGGAAGAATATTAATGGCTTTTGCATTTATAGATATGTCATTCCAATCAGCATCATTATATTCTTCTTCTATTTTTGGAACTCTTACATTGTCTACAGTTTTCATAGGAATACGAGGTCCAGTAATAATGTTTCTCCAACAATTTATATCAACTGATTTTATGAAATTTTCCATTCTAGTTTTCCAGTAAGATTAATTAGAACCATTGAACAGAGGTGATCTAGAAACAGATTGACCGTCTAAAGATGTAAGAGGAAGTGAGGCTGCCATGGGATCTTTTCTCTCGAGCTGTTAAGCTTTGGTAAGTCAAGAGCCAAGAGCTCTGATACCAAATTGCGGGTCCCGTTTATGTATGGCACAACCCAAGAGAGCTCTGATACCAGATTGTGGGTCCCGTTTATGTATGGCACAACCCAAGAGGGGGGTGAATTGGATTTTCTAAAAATTTAACTTTTAAAAACAAAATTTAGAATTTCTATTGCCAGCAGAATTAGAAGCATTTGTTGATATTATTATTAGATAAAAAATATTAAATTTTATAATTTTATCTAAGTGAAATGCGCTCATAAATAAATCCGAATAATTTTTTGAAAATTAACAAATGAAATTAAAAAAAAAAAAATGATGACTTCAGAGGGGGGTGAATTGGATTTTCTAAAAATTTAACTTTTAAAAACAAAAATTAGAATTCTATTGCAGCAGAATTAGAAAGCATTTGTGATATTATTATTAGATAAAAAATATTAAATTTTATAATTTTATCTAGTTGAATGCGCTCATAAATAAATCCGAATTAATTTGAAAATTAAACAAATGAAATTTAAGATGTCAAACTCAAACTTTACTCGAGTTTGAATCACATGTTATTAAATCAGTTTCAAATAATACCTTTTTTCTATAAAATTATTCCGAAATAACTAAATACTACAGTTTGCTCTTTAGTTATAATAATAATTTTGTAAATTAAAAAAATGGAATGAGACTCCTGAGTCCTTAGTCCACAATAATCAATATTATCCACAGGCAAAAAATAAGGCATCAATATGGGTCGGACTCGGGTCGTGGTAGGCGAATAAAAATACTAGGCCCATAACCACTAGGTGCAAATATGGGCCTGACTTTCCGTGGGAAAATGCTCTTTGGAAGGTTAGTTTTGTCAATTCGGCCTAAAGAATAAAGTTTAATGGTTAAATTGCAAAAATAAAATGCGGTTGCAATTGCAAAAACAGGTTACTGCCAATTTGCCATTTTTTTCCTGTTACTTGATTTTTTTTCTGCTTTTAAGAATGTCGCGCGAAGGTTCGATCACCACAAGCAGCGCTGCAATGAGATCGGCGTCTTCTTCTACCGTCACCACCACGGTCACCCTAGATAACCCTCCCCAACAACAACAACAACCACCGCAAACCCTAGTATTGCGGCTTAATCGGAGGAAGAAGAAAGTTAGCTGGAAAGAAGGCACCGTAGACAACGAGTTTATGCAGAAGAAAAGCTCCAAAAAATGTTGTATCTTCCACAAGGACAAGCCATTCGATGAGGACACCAGCGATGATGATCAAGACCATGATCATGATCACGATCACGATCAACACCATCATCATCATCACAAATCTAACGGTGCCTGTTCTTCGAAGGACAACTCTAACAATTTCAATTCAACGGCTGATTGATTGCGGATTTCATTTGTAAGAACAAGAATTGGAATCTTGATTTTCTTGACATTGATGTTTGTTGTTTCGCTGCTCAATATATTTGGAATTCTATATATTGAGAAATAGAATTTCAATTCAATCCTAGCGAAGTTGATTTGAAGTTTTGGTCTTTTTGATATGGGCTGCAGTAAACAGATGATTAGTTTCATTTGAGAAATCTATGGGAGAAATTTTGTAGTTTAATTCTTTTAATTTTAATTGGCATATTAATGTTGTTTTGTGCGAGTTAAACACACAAATTATTGATAATTAGAAAAGAAATAAATTGGATTTTTGATAGATTGTTAGATTTGAATATATTAGTTCGTTGAATATATTATTTTTGTACTGAGGCACACAAATATTTAAATTAACACAATTTGGTCTTCTAATGATCTTGCTGTTGTAATAAGTCTGGAATTTTGAACATGAACTCCTTAAAATTTTCATTTCTCTTCTTTTTCTTTCCCCCCTTTTAACATAACTAGTGTAAATTGGAGGAATGATTTTATTCTAGTAGAACGAGGATACACCATTAGTCTTCATCTACTTGTATTTATGCTTAAGAAAAAGAATGGGTAATCAGTATCAGATAAACATATAATGTGGTTTATGTAGCCATGAGTTTTTAGTTCCATTTCTAATTTGCTTCACACGTTGTTGCCTTACTGCTTGTCTTTTCAACATGAACAGCATTGCAGCGATTACTTTACTTTCTTGTTTGGTTTGCTAAGAAAAATACTAAATTATTTGTTGTGCTTGCTGCTTTGTGTTGTGGAATTGATGTATATTCGTGGTGCAGGTTGCTTACTGTAAATAATTCTTCGATTATTATGAGGGCTTTTACCCACTTTCAAGTCTATATGAGATGCCAAATTTGGTTGGCACTTGGTATCATCTAACAACTTGAACTTTGCAAGGGGAATTGATGAATGCTTGTCACTGTAAGAACCTTTTTTGCTAATTAGCCTGGCATTTTATTTGTGATACTTTCTCGACATTGTGTTTAGTGTAATGTGATCGAAACTTTGTTTTATTTTTGTTTTTCACATTTCATGTAAGTAGAACGACTCTAAAGAAGCAACATGCTTTGGCGTTGGATAACTCAGTTATATATATTAGATGGCCCATATGCGATCCTAATGCTAACTGTTGAACACAAATTTTTTTTATATGATCCTAATGCTAACTATCAGAACTCAAACTGTTGGCGTGTTTGAAGGAGACTTGGAATATATGTTATAATTTGTGAAGAGTTAGTGCCTGGTGATAATGAGAGTTGAATTGATGAAGTTTGGAAAATGGATGGAGTCGGAGGAAGTTTGTTCAGAGGATTGGATGATTATTCTCTCATGCATTGGCATAGCCATCTCATGAATACTAGAATTTTCAATGCTGTGCATTTTATATAATTGTCTGTGCATACCAATTCGTCCAAGGGAAAAGGAAATTATATCAGGACAGAAGTAAAAGCCAAAGCAAGGTTGAGGATTGAAATATTCCTGCAAGGAAAATAACCAAAAACAAAGTCTCTAACATTGTTGTTGCTAAACAAATCCCTCCAAGACACATCCATAGAATGAGATGGTGGAAGATGTGAACAATATTCTTTGTTGTTGGTTTGAAAACAATTTCAGGGTTGTTACTTGAAATGAATGTGAATTTGAATTTTGATTAGACTTTCAATTGTAAATTCACAAAAGTTGTGGATGGTAATATGTTAAAATATTTCCTTTTACCAAAGACATAGAAGCACATAAATGTGCAATCATAATCTTTCAAATGTAATAAAATAAATTTTAAAATATGAATAAGAAGTCAGATTGCAATTTAAAAAATAGCTGTAAGTTCGAAAGGGAAACAACAAAGGCAAGAAATGAGTTCCGGCCAATATTTATGATTCTAATAGTTTCTTTTTTACCATCAGTCTTAAATTGGTATTCTACGTAAGTTCTGACCTAATGTTTCTAATTGGAAAGAATTTCTTTTTTCAAAGATTTGATTAAAAGAAAAGTCAAATTAACATTTTCAATTAAGGTTAGCGGGAAAAATAATTCAATTGTCTAGAAACATTTTCAATGGTTACTTTTGATTATTCATTTTTGCTTCCATTCCATAAGTTTCAATCTTAGCCAATGGAATGTCTCATTAGATATTTATTTTTTGAAAAACCATCATTTGCCGCTTAACAAGTTCTGTAAATGTATTATTATGTAGAATTAACAGGCAAAGACACTAAACATAACAAATCCAAGTTTTAAAAGATAACAAGACTTGGATATCTTGATTTAGAAAATTTACTATACAATAGTAGGTTTTTTACACAGCTAATCCACTTTTTAAGCCCTTTTGTACGCCTCACCAAGACAATATATCAACCAATAACCGAAAGCAACAATTTTTTTTTTTCACATGCTGCATATTTGATGCACATTCAAAAATTCTTCAAGACTACCAAATAAAAAAATAAAAAAAAAGGAAAGAATTGTGCAAACTGGGAAATTTAGAAAAAAATTATAAGAAAAGGAAAAAATGTGTATCAGAAGCCTGCAGTTATACTACACGAGTAGAAAGCAATTTGTATGACAAACCAAAGGTTACCCCTTCCATCCGGTAATGACTATGTAGCCAAAAAGAGAACATTGATGACAACTAATAATTTGAATATCAAAGTTAAAATTCTCAAATTTCAAAAATCCATTGAAAATTTTTTCGATAGGATGACTAGGCCTTGGATTTCTTCCCCTTGCCATCTGTGGATGGGTTGTTTTGGAAGGGGAGAAAAGATTTGCCACCCATGTATAATCTCAAAGGTTCTGGAACCTCCACGCCGTTTTCCTTCTGGTAATTCTCAAGAATGCAGCAAATTGTTCTCTCTGTTGCAGTCAGGGTAGAATTCAACAAATGAACAAATTGCTTTGCTTGCTCATTGCTCTGCAACCAACAACAAAACAAGCAACAAAATATGTGAAACTTAAAACAGGATTTTATTGATGAAGCCACGAAAAAGAAAAGGATCATTTTTTTTCTATGCAAGCTGTGACCATTATCAACTCTAGAATTCAAATAAGGCATTTGATAATGGAATTGTGAAATCTTAATTAGTTTATCGAGGAAAGTGTGCTAATACACTCATCACTTCCATTCCTTGTATGAATTCATTTGTTGTCTGAATTATGTATTGCTCTAAGTTTCTCTTCAACCAAAACAATGCTTATTCTTGGGTTTCTACACTCTTCTATCCTATTTTTGTGAGTTTGTAACCCCTATTATTCCTTCACCCATCACAAGCATCCTAAAGAAATTCAATACAGGTTTATAGACAGTGATAGAGTGCATATAATGGAATAAATTTCCCAATCATCATCAAGTACCAATGTTTGTTCCAGTACATCTCATCCATCTAAAGTATTTTGCAGGTCATTCACCCGACTCAGTTTGATACAGAAAATCCTACAGAGATAGCATGAACTGAGTTACGCATGGAGTTGAGCCTCAAGATACAAATCTATACAAGCAAGTTAGGACTTCAAGTAGCATAACCAGAACTACCTAATTACTATCAAACACTAACCAATTCATTAAAGATGCCTCCTCGCATTAACAAGCAAGACAGTCAATGTATCACTATTCACTAATAATCAATCTACAGATGTACTAAGAATGCCCATGCAACATTTGGAAGAAAAATGATTCATTGCCATTTTCCTGTTAAACAAGTTTCAGCCGATCGAAGCATTTCATATCAACCAAAAAATGTAGTTAGAACATTCTACAGAAAAGGTCATGCATCCTAATGATTTTAACAAAAGCTGTAGATTAGGTTTAAAGGTAGGATCTGCAGGAAAATAAGTGGAGCCAAGAACAGAAAATTAAGATCATAGCTAACCCGTCAGCTTTACCCCAAGTAGTTATGGAAATGAGGAACAAAATATGTTCAAGGTAAGAGCTATTCAGAGGGTACTTAACTGACCTTTTTTCATATTTATGTTCAACAAGTTGCAGAAGAAGGCAGAATAATTTAAAGGCTGTTCATCCAGCTGGTGGAAAAACTAGTGAGCTGGACCCAGTATGGAGAATGATGAAAGCCAAAAACATATAGTTTCTCAAATAATAATCCAGGTCGTGCAGCTGGAGCTTTACTAACTAAACTAAGCAAATTTATGAGGGAACAAATTCCCATGGTAAACAATATGACATATTAGCAACTAGTTCTGATCATTAATGAGAATACTAACACCATAACAACAGTCAACAGGATAATAATACAATTCACACATACCCTCTTCGAGAATTTGGGCCATAAAAATGTTCCCTGTAGTCAAGAGCTTATATTTACTCCTTAACAAAATACCTTTGATGGGAAGAAAAGAAAGAAGGAAATGAGAGAGAGAGAGAGAGAGAGAACTGTAGAAGTTGACAATTATGAGAAATGAGGTGGTGGTTAGGCTAGGAATAAGATATCAATATCATCCTCCTGACAACCATTAGGGATAATGTTTCAAGGCACTTCAGAGGAATGCATCCTAGTGTTATGCAGCACAAAAGAACTTGATTTCTTTTTATTCTTATTTATAAGTTTGTTTCTTTGTTGTTTTCCTTTATGCCTAAAGGATTTCTAAACCTAAATTTCTTAAATATAATTTTTCAGAAAGTAAATCACTTACAGACTGGGAATAAAGAATAGTTCAACTATATCAGTCAGTGAGCTTTCTCTCTGGTGTTAGGTCTGGATAAGTAAAATCTCATAAACATACAATTAAAACTATCTAAGCCAAGGAATACAAAATTTCTTTGCAACTGCCTGGTGCAACTCTAACCCGCGCATGATTCCAATGAGACTCTAGTTATCATGTCGAACAAATTCAAGATGTGAAACCCATCAGGTTATAAATTTTCTATTGTTTCATTGTGCAAGAAACTTCAGATAAATTCAGGTCTTTCCTCTACTTAAATGCCAAACATCTCTCTAGTACAACCCTACTCTATCCTCTTCGGTTATCCTATAGAATCTCAAAAGGCACCTCCCATGTTACTAATCGCATTTTCTTAACCTCTTAATCCATCCTTAATCCACATTTAAATCTTGCTGCCATCTTACCATACTTTTCAGGGTTGATCTTGGTCCAAACCCTCTTAGCACTCCTATATGATTTAAATATAAAGCAAATAAAACATAATTATATACAGGCAAGAAGTTTCCAATGATTTTCAAAGAAATACTTAGGCCGCGTTTGATGTCCAAATCAGAACTTCGAATTAAAATTTTCACTGCTTTTTTAATTTTAAGTTATTTGATAATACTTATTTACACATCACTTAAAAGTTTCAATTAAGCCAAATCTGCTCAAGACAATCGGTCAAAGTTTCTAAATTAATATTTGCATCAAACAAAATGTGTATAGGCTTTTAAAAAATTCTATAATTTAGAAATTTCAGCACCCGTATCATGCAGCAATTTGAATTCAGAATCAGCTCTTAAATTTTCAGCATTTAATTTTCAATTTTACCAAACACACTTTAGTTTAATCTTTTTTTCTTTTTTTTTTTCAATATTTTCACCATATGGTGGGCATGCTCAAATGGAAGACAGAAAATATTTCTCAAATGGTAGACCAGAAATGTTTCTAAGATAATAAGCCAGAAACATATGAAATACATGACATCCATATTACGGTATGAACAAAAGAAGTGCATAATAAGTACCTTTTTCTGTCCATATCGAATTTCTAGTTTTCTTGACTGGTAGTCTGTACAATTGGAACAGGAGACCAACTCTCTGTATGTATTTGAAGCAGGAAACCATCCCTCCAAATCATACTTTTTGGCAGCCGCATCATTCAAAGCGCCAGAAACAATAGACACCAATTGGTAAGGAATGTTCAACTGTTTGAAAAGGGGACTGTCAGGCAACTTATTTTTATTGTGTCATCAATACAAGATTATTAGCATGTCATCAACAAGGCTTGGCCTTACATATCTGGTCATATTTCTTTTCAGAAACCATTGTTTATGTGAAAGAGATTGGTTATACCAATTTCTAGATTTTCTTAAGGCACATATCAGGTACAGAGCCAAGCATTGCAAGTTGGGAAACAATCAATATTCTTCCAAAACTGAGAAGTAAGAAAACAATCTAAAAACAAGAACATCCTAAGTTTTAAGTTAGGATATCATACCATCTTGTAGAAGTCCTCGGAGTTCTTGATCATTTCCTCATGCATTTCCCACGAGTCATTGCCATTTGGGCTGGTAATACAGAACTGCTCCACTTTCTCAAATTGATGGACTCTGAAAATTCCCAATGTATCACGACCATGTGAACCAGCTTCTTTACGGAAACAAGACGAGTAACCAGCATATCTGTCAAAAAGTATTAAATTAATGAGACCAATACAGTCACAGTTTTCTGCCATTGAGACCACTGATCACTAGAAAAAACTAACCTGATTGGTAGCTGGGAGGGATGGATCCAATCTTCTAAATGATAAGCACATAGAGGTTGCTCAGCAGTAGCAATTAGATATTTGTCATCTCCTTCACCTGTCACCTATCAAAAACCAACTACATCGGTGATCCTTGCATTTCATCCAGTAGCAAATGAAATACAAAAGAAAAAAAAACCAAATAATTAACATGAATATAAGTTTTTTTGAGACCCAAATTATCACAAGGCAAGGCTATTTCATGACTTAGAATAAATATTAATATAATTCTTTTTCTTTTTTTGTGAATGTGTGTGATGCAAAGGAAAGCAGCAGAACAAAAGAGAGGGAAATGCATTAAACACAAAGCATATTAGAGTTTGGACAACCAAATAAAGTAAAAAAGGGTCAAGAACATCAATTTTGATAATTAAATACAAAAGCCATTACACAACCAGGAAAAAAAATAACTGATACAAGAATAATAAGTTTAAAATATATAACTAAGACTTGCATTATGTTAAGAGCAACCCAACTTGATTTACAACATACAACTCGGGAAATACAGGAATTTTGACGAGAAAATATCATAAATAGCATCCATATGCTCCTAAGAAAAAATTGCGTGACATTCTTGAAAATGGACAAAACTGGATATAGGAGATAGAGTGCTCCAAGAAGTGAAATTCTATCATTCTGCCAACCATTATTCAAAGGACGGTTAGTATGCCAATTTTACTAACATATATTTAGGAAGAACATTTGGATAACTACAATGCAAGCATGCCTACACACACAAAGACAAGAAAGAGAGACAGAGAGAGTCTTATCACACCACCCGCTTCAACTCTCTTTCATATTCTGCCTCCCACCTCTCTACATCTGAATATCTAAACATACTATTGATACCTTTCAAAACTTTACCTTGTAAAGTTCTTCATCAAATTGAGCAAGCTGAGCACATTTTGACATAATGTCTTTCCTCATGAAAAAGGGAGTCTGCAAGGCTGTGTAACCCCTCTTCTCCAAGAAGTCAAGGCCAAAGTTGATCAATGCCTGATTAAGTCGTACACCATCACCTTTCAGATAGAAGCCTCTCCCTCCAGCAACATTAGATCCTAATCATTTCAAGCACAAAGCATTAACACAAATATCATAGAAACCGGAAAAAGAAAAGAAAAGAATCTACAAAGAAAAATTTCTTTTGCACAAGCTAGATATATTCATGAAAGCAACTTAGTTGCTTTCAATGTGGCTACCAACAACAAATATATTAGCAATAGCAAGCGTGAAATGACAACCAACTTATAATTACCATGATAAAAATGAACATTTACTTAGGTCTCGTTTTTAATAATTGAATTCCATTAAACTGAGGTATTCCTTTGGAAATCCAAGTTTGATATAAATGAAAATGATTATTGCAAAAACTACATTTATGGAATGCAATATGAAAAAAGCCAAGTTTTATCATTTGTAATGAATCATACATTGGATAATTAAGATTAAGAAATTTGGGAAGTTTACATTCAAGAGAAGATATTAAACACGACTAACAGAAAACTTCCACACTGTACTTCAGCCATCAAGGTCGAGTAGTAAAGCAATGCAATAAAGAAAAGCAATGCCAATATCTTTGGATGAGCGGAACACAAGAACTTAATATATATTGTTAATCAAATAGAAAAACAAGAATTTCGAACAAGTAAATCATACTTGAATACCTTTCTTAGTATCTGCAATACCAAGAAGCTCAACAAGCTCCACATGGTTTTTCAATTTGGGCTCTGATCGTTTTTCGCCCCAAACACGAATCACAGCATTATTAGCCTGCAGGACAAAATAAAAAAAAAAATGATTCATAGTGCAGTAAATTCCACATTTCAAGGGAAGAATAGAGGCGAACTGAAAATAATAATACAAGCACATACCTCATCATTACTAACAGGAACAGAATCATGGACAAGGTTACCAACTACTTCCAATCTCTTATATAAAGCTTCTGCAGCCTGCTGAACCTCAGCTTCTTTTTCAGAAGCCAATTTCTTGTTCTCATTGGTGCTATTAATCAACTCAGAAGCATCCTCACCAGCCTTATTCACATCATTCACACAAAAATAAATTTAATTTCTCAAGAAATTAACTAAATACATAAAACAGGAAAAAGAAATGCTCACAATTTTGAGCTGAGCAACTCTTTTATTTATCTTATTAAATTCTTTGCGCAGGTTATCAAGTTCAAATTGACCTAAAATGAAACCAAAAAACATAAATAAGTAACAAAACTCAATTGTTAACTTGAAGAAAGAAAGAGAAAAGACAGAAATAGGAAAAAGGAAAAAGAAGATTACGCTGTCTCCATTCCTTGTCAAGGTGAATGATCTCGTCGACGATATCTACATTAGCGAAACGACGACGCTGCGATTCGCGGATGAGTTCAGGGTTGTGGCCCTTGTCTTCCCTAAAGAGATTTATGTCCAACATACTGTTTACTCTTCTTCTGATAGTGCAGAGAAACCCTAGGATTAAAGCTTGGTGATGAGAGGTCTGTGACGGCTACTAGACCCTTTTGTTTGGAAGAACAAGTGACAATTCTCAAGAGGTGAAAAATTTCATAAACCTTTATTTGGATGGGTGTAAAATTTAGATGGAAGTTAAATAAATGGTAAAATTTACTGAGATTATCAAAATCTCTTATTTAGTTTAAGGTAAAAAATCAAGGAGGCTGTAAAATAATTTAACCTCATTTTCACTCTAGAAAAATGAATAGTAAAATTTTATACTCTCATTTTACCTCCACCCCTTATTTTACTTCCCCACTTCCCAAAGAAAGCATAAGATTCTTGACAAAGTGGGAGCATAAGTGTAAGCAAAACCAAATTTAAAATAGGGGAAAGTATAATGGGTTACCCAACACTATGTTTGGGAAGGGAATGAAAGAAAATAAGGGAGTAAGAAAATAGTAGTGAAAACTAATGAATCTTTTATTCTATGTTTCCAAATAGAAGAGAGAAAGTAAATCTCATTCTTGTAAAATTATAATTTTACCCTCTATATATTTAAAAATAATAAATATAAATATAATCTAATATGATTTTTTAATAAAATTCAAGTAATGCTCCCTCTGTCCTAAAAAAGATAATTCACTTTCTATTTTCACACAGATTAATAAATATGGTTAAAGGACGATTTTATTAATATAACTTTCTTATTATGCTCATCTTAAATAACAATGATTATTGAAATAATAACTAAGAATTAATAAGGATTACTGAAAATAAGGTAAATTTTAATAAAGGTATAGTAAACTATTCAAGAATTAACTATAATGTAAAAAAATAGGAAAGTGAAATATATTTTGAGACAAACCAAAAAGGAAAAATGGATTATCTTTGGGACAGATGAAGTAATTTTTACTTTTCAAGAAATAGTATCTTAGTTATTCTAAAAAAAAATATTAATTGAGTGTAAATGTTCAATAAAAAGAGAAATAAAAGGATAAGAATTTTTTTTTTTTTTGAAAATAAAAGGAAAATTTTTTATACAACCTAGAAATCAAGTCTCTTATATATATATACACATTAGGTGATCTCCCGCACTTTGTACGAATGTATAGAATTTATATTACTTATGCATATTACATGTTACTTTGCAAAGGTAATGTGATGTAAATGTAATATGCAGAATTGAAAATTCATCATTCTAATTAATGGTTAAGTTAGCTGCTCAATCCTTACATTTGAAAAGAAAAAAGAATGTTTGATGCAATAATTATGTGTAGCCCATTGAAATAGTGAAAGCGTATTATTGTATGAAACTCAGGTTCTGTTTGTTTCCATAAAATAACTTGCAAGAAAATATTTTTCACAATTTTTTGTTGTTTGGGGCATTCAAGAAAATAAGTCAATGGAAAATATTTTCCTGTTTAAAGGAAAATTAAGTCATTTTTTAAGGAAAACAATTTCTCATTCTCAAGAGAATAAAACATTTTCTGAACATCAGTAAATATTATAAATTTATATTTTTTAATTTATTAATCATCATAGTTATTATTACGGTCATCATTTGCCACCGGCTACCACCACCTGCCACCGCCACCAGCGGCTTTCGTAATTTATATTTTCTTTTTGCATTCTTTTCATATTTAACAATAAAATTTTTAAATTATAAAATTTCGATTATTATTAATATTTATGGTCTTATGAGATAAAGACTTTAATGTGTTTAACTAATTTTCAATATTACAATCAAACAATGAAAAATAAGTCATTTGAAAAATATTTTTCAAGGAAAATGTTTTCCATGAAAATACTTTTCAACAAGTTATTTTATAGAAACAACGGAGCCTCAATGTATCAAAATAGGAGGTAATTAATAAAAATTTATTTCCTTTAAGAGTAATAAATCGAAGCATCGAAATATATAAGAGTAATAAAAATCGAAGCCATCGGAAAATACTATCAATATATTACTATATACTTAAATATATAGATTTTTAAAAAAAAATATAATTTATATAAATAAATTTATATATATATATATATAAAATTGAAAAACTATGAATGAGAATTGAGAAAGTTAAATAAATTCTAAATTTTGAAAAACAAATTAAGTAAAAGTTAAGAGTATTGCATACTTTATGTGTTTTTCATTCATATTTTTGAGAATAGTTATATATTTTTCTAAAATTGATTTTGCGTAATTTTTAAAAATTAAGGAGCAACATTATTTTTTTTATTTTTGTATTAAACGATAATCCTGTTTTTATCATTTTCTTAATTAATCCATTGAAGTTTATATATATATGATTAAACAATTAATGTTGATGCAACAAGAATAATTTTTATGAAGAATCTATATTACTGAGTAATTTTATAGTTTTAATATTCTACTTCTCTTAATAATTCATTAATTCTTTAAGGAGTTCATATAAGGATTTCAAGAATTCAAATAATCCAGTTGAAGCCATAATTAATGTCTGGTAGATTTCCTTTGTTCAAACTAGAACGGTAAAGTTATTTTAGTTTTAAGTTTTTCTTCTTTCTTACAGATTCTATAATTTAATTAATAGATATTTGATAATTTTCTTATTTTTCACAAATTTTAAATCAAGCCACAAAATGATAATATCATGGGCTGGGTATGCCATCATTGAGATTAAACACTGGTAAATGGTAATGCCTTCTGAAAACTTGCATATAAATTTTTGGCGGTTGCTTATGATTGTATAAATTTTAACTATATCAAGCACCAATTTTCTTTATAATTTCTTTTTACTTGTTGTTATGTATTGGTATTTAGAAGCCTGTTAATTAGTAATTATATTAAAAACATCATCAATTTTCCCGCAGACTGCTTTATTTAAATTATCATCTTATTTGTAATTAATTATTAAATTATTAGAAATTTGTAGGCCATTTAAATTTATTTTTAAATAATTATACAATTCAATTAAATATTAGGCTTTACTTTAAATTAATAAAGTTTTGAGTTAAAGTTTTATAATTCAAACAATTTATCTTGTCATATATAATCTATACAAATAAAGTTTTCCAATTCAAATGGATGATATATAATGTATATATTCATTAATCTATAATTAATTTTTAATAGTTAAAAATATAATTTTAATTTATTTATTTAGATTTTTTACCAAATTAAAAGTTATAGAAAGCAATAATGTTTTTTTCCTTTAGCAAAAAGATACAATAAAAATTTTTGAGTCAAAATTAACAACAAATATATCAACGCCTCCTTTGAGCTGTAGTTCTTGATTTTCAAAAGAATCACTAATATTTCGTGGACTACCTTCCAAAACAAATGCCTTAGATTGAGATTGAAAACTCTTCCCAAAAAAAAAGTAGTTGAGGCCAAGAACATAGATGAAAAACAAAAACTATGATCTAACAATTTTAAAAACTTATAATTAATAATAAAATAATCCAGGCAACTGAGAGTATCTTATAACGACAACATTAACAAATTAGTCGGTGGAAGAAGAAGTCATATAAAATTTTTCAATTTAAACCAATATTTCATGTGAATTGCATTCAGATCAGACGGAATAAAAGAAGCCTTCCATTTTATTTTTGATATGGCTTTTTCATTCGAAGGGTCCTTAAATTAGAAATAATCACCTTTATTAATTAGTAGAATATTTTCAAACAATTGCAGAATGTTTAATAATTAGTTACTTGATTTCATTAATACATGGAAGTAGTTGGCAAGAGAACAATAAAAAACTTATCCTAATCCAAACAGCATATTCACCATCACTTAGTTAGAATTAAAAGAAAAAAAGATTTTTAAAACAGCTTACATACACCTTCCATATATGAATACATATAAATAATTTAAAGCATTTCAAAATTTAAAATTTTTATCTTTATAAATTTATTTTTAATTGAATATTGCAAAATTACCCGTAATTTTATTTGTCGAAAACTTTCAAATTTTTTATTAATTCAAAATCTCGATTATTCAAATATATGGGGCTATAAAATACCAAACAATTCCAATTCAAAGCCCAGGTTTGCGAGTTGGGCCTAAAGCCCAAATATATCATCGGAAATTTTTTCGATTTTGGAAACGAGTTAAAATTTTCGAGAAAATAAGTTGAAACTCCAGCCAATTAATCTATTATGAATACTTATTATAAATTATATTATCCTGAAATCAAATATTGTTTACTTATTAATATTTTTTTATTTTTATGGATAGTTAATGGAGAAAAAGTTACGAACCTAACTAAAACAATCGAAAATAAACGAACCGACCCAGAAATCGAAGTTTGATTTTTCGAAAACCCACTACGAATAACTTGAGAATCAGTGGAAATCCGAGAATCAAGACAAAATACATCAAATTAGCACCAAACGGTTTTGGAATCGAACCGGAATGGCCTAGAATTTGCTTAGAAATCCGCCTTTCTTCTTTCTTTCTTTTTCTTTCTCTTCTTCTTCTCCGCCGCGAGTCGCCTAGCCCCCCCCGCTTCCCTCTTTCTCGTTTTTCAATCACCTGAGACCAGCGCCTTCCCACCACCACTCCTCCACCTCCAGTTTTCCTTTTCTCTTCTGTTTCCGCTGGCCGCAGCAAAGGAGAAGCTGTTGCTATTCCGATCGCACAAACCTCCTGCAGCTCCTCTCTTCTATTCTCGCGGCAAGATCAAACGCAGAAGACCGGTCGGATTAGGACCCTCCTCATGACCGCTAAATAGCTGTCGGCCACATCCTCGTCAGTTCCAATCCAAGTTTCGCACAACGAGTATCGGTTTTTGCAGCATTCGAGTCTATTCGGTCATTTTAACCGGAAATATTTCAATTTCCACAACATTCTATAGCTAGGTAAACTGATACCACCCCCTAAATTTGATTTTTGGACCCTGTTTCATGATACTTTTGCATGAATTCTTGATATGTTTAAGCAATGAGTGTTAGCATGATATTGACTGCAATTTTATTTGCTAATATTAGGCTATTGCAGAAATTTATATATATCTAGCTACTGTTTCGGTGAATGTTGATTAGAAATTTCGAAATTTTTGCTATTTTGAATTGGTATATTAAAAGTGAATTCCTATATCGATGGACTTTACATTATTATATTTTATTATAAAATTCCTTGCGAAGAATTAAGCACTTCTTTAGGTTGAAGATAGCTAGTTAGATATATGTTCAAGCCCTGTTATCCTATTGCAAGGAATTACTTAACTT